TTTTTTTTTTTTTTTTTTTTTTTTTTTTTTCCCTGTCTTCATATTTCTGAAATGTTTTAGTGACCCAGAATGAAGCTTATTTTTTTTAATCATGTTTCCATAAAATGTAACCCCGGGGACCTGGCAGAGAGAGACCAGCCAAGGGTCGGGCTGAAACCTTTATCACTTCCAAACACAGGGGCTTATGGTATAAATGACACACTGCAGATAGATTTACTTTTACCATTTTAAATTTATGATGGCTGAAATGAAAGGAAGCAATAGAAAATGCCAGTAATAATCCTCCCCACTGTTAARAGACATGAAATGTCTAGTAATTAGGTGGTAACAAAATCTGGACATCCTTATCTTTGCAAATCACACCAGGTTTGTGAAAGCGAGTAGCAGAGTCCTGTTAGGAGTGAGGGCAGCTACTGCAGGGCAGGCGAGATAGCTCTGGAAATAAATCTGCCAACTCCAATCACTTGCCAGATGTGGAGGGCACAATGGGATCCGTATAAATGAGCTGTTATTTAATGGGAGATTATGTTGAATTGTCAGCTGCTTGTTCCCCCTTGTAAGTTTGTATCTCGGCGAGTATTTTAAATGACATCTTTGTTTTTCACTGCGTTAAGTGCTGTGTGTAGCCAGAGATCKCATCTCTGGACATCTTTATCTGTGTTTGCAAAAACATTTTGAAAGTGCTCTCTGCTAAATCAGTGAGATCAGCCAAGGTTTAGAGAAGCAAGAAATAAGTAACAGTCCATGTTTGAATAAAATAATGAACACAACTAGTGAATTTTCCTTTTTCTAAGGAGCCCAGTTAATGTCTCACAGCTTATCTTATCACTTAAACTGATCCTTGTAAATAAATGCCTTCCCCACCCCAGTCTGTTTAATGGCAAGAAGTTTATGGAAGGAGTTAGTTAGGTATTATTAGGTAGTCGTTCTTTCTGACCTACTTGAGAACTCTGAGCCTTAAACCATGTCGTAAAACAGAAGTGTTGGTGTCTAATTACTTCCATAAACTTTGACTGGATCTTTTTGCTGGAGTCAAGACCCCCTGTTAGGGGAAAAATAAAGTCCCATGTTTGCAGAAAATGCTATCCTGCACTGCTCCAAGGCAAAATATTTATTTGCCTCTCTGGTTTTTCGTTCATTTCTAGTTACTTCTCTGGATTCAGCACAAATGAATTCTGTTTAAATTAAGCTTTTGGGTACTTTAGGCACATCATATTAAAATCAGAATAATAAGTAGGTTGACTTTCCTTCTGCCTTTATTTCTGTGTTGTTAATTTGATTGTGCAGCCCTTATTCCCCTGAATTCAATGAGGTTGACTCACATGAGAACACTTGCAGGAATGGACTCCAAATATGCCACCGTGTTTCCTTTATACAGTACACACAAAGAGTTTTATTTATAGATTATTTTTGGTGTCAGAAGTGATTACTTGAGGAATGAATATAGGAAATTCCTCCCAGAATAGTCCTGTTAATTTCAGAAATGTATTTTATCTGACTGAAAATTATGAAAGAGAAATTTAGTTGTTGAAATTGAAGGGCTAATTCTGCAAGACACAGAACATCCTGGATTCCTCTTGAGTTCAAATACTGTATTGCTTTTCTCTGAGCATATTATAATTCTACTCACAGAATGAATGTAGAAATTCCAGCTGATCTCTTCATTTCTGGGCATGAGATGCAAAATTAGTGAAGATATTTTAAAACATTTTTCTAGTGTGTACTATAATTATGTTTATCCCTKTTCTCCCCAGCTGATTCTGAAAACTCTGAGTATTAAAAAGAGCTTGCTAAATCCTTTTTATTTTTAGTAGCTCCTCTGAATGAAACATAGATCTGTAACTAAATGTGGTGTTATTTTCTAATATTAAGATATACGACCAAATTAATAAATTAAATTGTAAGAAATGGGAGGGGAAATTCTTTATGGAAATTTCCTTTTCTTTATCTAAATGTCTTTAAAACATTCACTACTTTGTTTCTTTTTTTTTTTTTTTTTAATAACAAACAGCTGGTGTTTAATGACTCTGTCAGACCCAATTAAAAAACGTCAACTAGTTACTTTGATTTGTGTTCAGCCATGCCATGGGTATACTTAAAAACATTATACTCTGCCAGAATTCATTTTGGCTTTGTTTACATTTATCTTTTAAACATATAAGACTATTGATGGCAAGTTACCAAGGTTATAACCCCTTTATATTCATCAATTTTTAATCTAAAAAAAAGCTTAAGAGACTCATCCATAGTTACTTGAACACTTAAATGCAAGTGTGCAGTGTGTGAGTGCTGGATGAAATGATCAGGGGATGGGAAATGAAAAGATGCTGGGTTTCTCTGCTTCTAATGCAGAGTTATTTTATCCTGCATTATTTCCTGCAAGTTGATTGTGCTTTTATAGATCTATGGCAAAAACTATTTTTATTTTTTTAATTTAAAATAAAGTCATTTGTAAGTTACATACAATGTCTTTAAGTCATCAAAGTGTTTTTTTGCCTTTGTTTTTGTTCATTGTTTGCTTTCTCTAATTATCCAGTAATTTTAGTACCTTACTATGTGGGACTGTTCCTTGGGTCTCAGGCAATTTCCAGGAGATGCTCTCAACTGCTAAATAAGCTGTTGTTTTATGTTGGTTCTGGCCAGGATCTACTCTGTTGTCTACATTTTATGTTGCTCTTAATGAGAGTGAAATTAACTCTGGGGTATCTAAGGCGTATTTACTGTTTTTCAGATTTACAGAAATTAAAGAYTCCTCTGGAAAGCTCGATTTCAGCCTGCTCTCTCCATCCAAGAAGGAATATTGGGCTATGTTGGCCTACAACCGCTCCAAGCTCTGCAATATCCTGTTCTCCAACGAGCTGAACCGGCGCCTTTCTCCCCACGGGGTGACCTCCAACTCAGTCCATCCTGGAAATATGATTTATTCCTCCCTTCATCGTAACTGGTGGGTGTACACTCTGCTGTTTACCTTGGCTCGACCTTTCACCAAATCCATGGTAAGTGATTGCCTTAAACTATTTTACTCATCTTCATTGTTGCGAAATGGGGGGAGAAAAGTTGTAAAAATCCAGATGTATGGATCTGCTTCGACCTCTTGCCTTCTATAACCATGACCCTGATTTTAATGGCAAACATCATACTCTAGAAGAGGATTCTTCAACCATTTAAAATTTACTTTGTCAATCTTCACTTAAGGAACCTTCTRAGATGGAGAGCATGACCTTGTTTGAATATATGATTTTCCCTGTGATTAAGGATGTCGTATGTCTTAGTTGTGGGGTAGTTTAGAGTTATTTCTGTGCTCGGGATGCGTAAAACATCAAAAATATTGTTTTGGCTTTTAAGTGGAATATGTTGACTGYATTTTTTATGTAAACAGATGCCCTAGTTAGAAAAGATACTACAGACATTATTAATGGCTGAGGGAAAGTGCTTTCAGTGGTAAAAGCACCTTCATTCATATTTTAAAAAAAGCAACAACCCAACAATTTTCCTGATTCTTGCAAAGTGCTGAAGACAATGGGTGTTTCCCACTGGTCTCCACTGGAATTTGGACTGGAACCATGACATAATGAAGGCTRTGCAGTTCTTCCATAGCCAGCGTTRTGGGTCTTTATTAWATAAGAATTTGCAGCACCTCCAACATTTGGAGGAGTTACTCTTATCTTTTGAACTTCTGAGCCAGATTATTTCTAAGGAGTCCAAAATACTTTTTCGGCAGAGGATGACATTTACTTCATTGAGAACTGGCTTCCTTTATGGWCTGTTTCTCATTCCTTTTCCACTGACAAGGGTGTCCCCAGAAAGAGGAACAGGGAGAAGGAATCTACCCTTGAATGTTTGGATCTATGATTCAGGGAAATGGAAAGATCCATACCTCTCCAGAGTCTTCATTTATACTGGGATAATGTGTGTGGAAAACACAGGGCGTTTAAAATTCTGATTATATGTCCATAAAAGAAAAATACTGGATCTTTAGTAAGACCTGTGGAGCAAAAATATAAACATTGCAGTGTTTGACCAGGAGAGCCCTCACACCTCCAACCTCTGCCTGCAGTTTGCAGCCTGTACATATGCAAAACCTATTTATGTCCACAAGATGGATAAGTGAGTGTTCTGGCACCTTGGGACAAGTAATAATATCTTTCAACAGCATGATTTTTTTGACCAGGACCTATAAAACCATGTCTCTGCTGTGTTAGGGATTGTTTATAAAACAAATTCTTGAAGTTCTCCTGAGAATCTGTAAGTGAATGTTATCAAAATTCTGTGAAAAGGATCCAGTCTGTGGATATTTGTGAATTGTTAGTTTTATTTATTCTGACATACTTTCACAAAGGGAACCTTTTGTGCTTGTTGCTCAGGGAATCTTATCCTCTAAGGAACAAAATAAAACACTGATGTTAATTTTGAGTTCTTTAAAACATTTGATAGGTTTTTAAATAGTATATATTAATGGGCAGTACATCTAAGAGAATACGAAGTACGGTACAAAGATATCAGCACTGAATAACTGTGCACTCTGGTCCAACCTAAATCACTTCTGTTAAGTCCTTCATGTTTGTRTTTCACTGAGGTTATTTGAATGTCATGATGGAGGGTATGGGCTGAGGTTAAGCATCAKTTTTACAACTCATATTCTGATATGAATTATGTTCCCCTGAAGTCTACCAGTGTTTCAATTGCCAGTAAAACTGGAAAAGTGCCCCTTCCTGGGTATGCAAACAAGCTGAGCTGAAATTCTCAACATCATCAGTGTAAGGATTTCTATTTTCAGTTTTGTAGGAAGCAAATTATTTGCTGCCTCTAGATTTTTTTTAGGGATTGTGCTCTTATCTAACTGGAATAGAYTTTGCTGGGGATCTTTTCCTGGGTTTCCTTTCCATGTTTCTGTGGTGGCTCACCCTGGAGGTCASATGAGTGTTTTGGTCAGGATGTTGGGAGTGATCTCAAAGCTGCAGTCCCAAGGTGGTGAGCTGCTCGTTCCCGAGCTTCCCAAGGATGTCTGCATTGCACAATGCAGCATGATGCAGCAGCATTTAAAGCACTTCCAACTGAGCCGGGTCTGTGGCTGGAATTGAGAGATTCCTTACGAGGTTGTGTGGAGGAGGTGAGATTTGGCAGCCCAGAGAAGGAGCCACATGGGTTTTGATGTCTCAGGCTGCAGCTGCTGCAGCATTTTGGTGTTTGGTGAGGCCAATCCTTCCTGGAGACAGTTTGAAGCTCTTTGCAATGTCCTGAGCTATCAGCTCCTGGGGTCTGCATAGATGCATTTTTAATTAATTAATTAATTAATTAATTAATTAATTTCAATGTACACACAGAAAGTGCAGCTGCACATACCTGATTCTAAGGCCATTTCATATTATTGTGGTGAAAGCTGTTAATGAAAAATTTGGAAGGGAAGCTCTGAAACTAAACTGTGTAGGCCATGCATTTACATAGCTGGTTTGATCTAAGGCTGTAGGGTTTTGTTTTTACTTTCCACCTCCCTTTCAAGCTCTTTTACTCTCTCCTCTCTTTCTCCCTCTCTTTAAAAACCAATTCAAGGAAATTTTGACTAAGTTTTATATTTTTTTTTCTTTAAATTAATCCTAGTCATTMAGAACCCATCTGATTTATCATTATTTACATACAAGATTGAAGTTAAATATATCTATTGTAAGTTTTGAGCTCACATCGAGTGTGGTATCTAGTCACCCCCAGGTGATTTTGAGTGTACAGTGGCATATAAAATTAGAATCAGAGTGCCATTATCACACACTAATGATATTCTTACATAGACCCAAATATTTTTGTTGGCAGGTAACAGAGCAGAAAGAATATCTTGTGTTAGAGTAGCAAGAGCTTAACAGATGTTTCAGTGAGCTGGATTTTCAAATCCTTTTACATTAAGAAAAGGCTGAGGTTTGGGGAAGTTCTGAGACTATTGGGTTAYGTTTCCTGTTGCAGTGCAAAGCCAGCCATTGTGTTGGAGTTTTTAGCAGATGTGTTACTCCCTTTTAATGGTTGGGAGCACAACATTGGTTCTGTTGCTGAGATATAAATTGCACCTATAAAAGCTCAACTTGTCACCTTTAAAAGCCAGTTAGAARTAGTGAGACCATTCTGCCCTATATTTTTTGTGTGTRAGAGACTGATTCTTKACATGCTCTTTGMTTTCTCCTTCCTCCTCTGAAGATAGTAGATTTCCAGAATTGGATTTTGTATTTAAAGTATTGCYGCTGAGAATTATAATGAATATTTCTAAGAGCCACAAAGTCTTCTGCATGTWTAAATTTTATATAAGCCCATGAATTCTTGTCCCTGTGCTATTTTCCTGGGGTGTTTGAGGCAGTAGCCCTGTTCAGTGTTCATACAGGCGGGAGGAAACCCCAGAATAGCTTCACTGGGTTTGCTTTTRCCATGTGTTGGAAGTGTGTAATCTTAAATTTAAATTTCATGTGAAGACTTCCATGCACACCGAACATCCACTCAGAAATGCTCTTCTGGCAAGAAATCAATCTGCACCTACAGGAGTGGCTTCAACTTAATGATCACATCTGTTTGCTTTTGATAGAAGCCCAAAAGAGGCCCTTCAGCCTCATCATCTCTACTTTCTCCCCTGTCCTTTGCTGAAGAAGCTGSAATTACCCTTGGAGCTGGGGATAGAATTCCCTCCCTAGGCAAACATTTTTTTGCTGTCCAAAGGTCTGTGTGGGCTGTGTTGAGTTGTTGTTGGCTTCCAGTTGTGAATTCACAGTGCCCTGAGCTGTGCCTGTTCAGCTGCAGGAGCAGCCCTGGGCAGGGTGGGCAGGAGCCTGGTCCAGCACTGAGTTTGGCCTCAGTTTCCTTCCTTAAGACATTCCTGAAAATGCAGTGGGGTTTCTTGAAAAGCAACAGTAAGCTCTCTTTGAAAAGAGCCTCACAGTTTAGGTTTGATCCAAATGACAGCTGCTTTTCTTGAAYTGAGTTCTGGGCAGGAGGGGAAAGAGGATGGCAGAGTGGAAAGGAAATAACCACCTACTGCATATTAGCAGTTGTGGAGAGTGAATATCCTACTTGCGATTCTCCTGGTTTATTGATTAAAGCCTGAAGTGTAAATGTTGGAGTAATGCTAAGCCCCAGCTCTCCTTTTTAACCTGCAGGTTTGTGGACTGCACCTCTAGTACSATGGAAGGACAATTAATTTATTTTATAAAACCCTGATAGCATATGCTTGCATAAAACTCCTATTTAAAATTGACTGAATTGRGTAAAAGGAAAGAAGAGTTACATGGAAGAACATTTTGATTTGTTGTAATAGGATGGTGAAGAGATGCCTCCAAAGTAGTTGTTGATCATTTTACKTGCCCTATCTAGCAATAAAATGTAATATAACCTAGTTTATTACCAAACTTACATTTAACTGATACATATTTTAACTTGCTGCTAAAATAAATGTAGCATGAAATATAAGGGCAAATTAAATTTGTCCCCTGTAACCTACACCAGAGGAATGAAAAGTCTCTGTGGAAACCCATCCATGAGCCAAAGTGAGCAGATCAAGGTCTCTGTGCAGAATGGAGCTTGAGGGGAATGGAATTTGGCCACGAAATTTGCTGTGGCCAAATAGAGTGGCCACAGCTTGCAGAGCAGCTCTGTTACTGTCCTGTAGTTTTGTGGAGGGAGTAAGGAATTTCTTCCTTTCTTCACCAAATCCTTGCAGAACTGCAGAATGCCTTGTCAAGTATGTGGGCTGCAAGGCAGGGAAACATTTGCTCCTTATTGCTTTATATTACTTGTAATTAGATCAGAAATTGAAATGAAAAAAAATTAAAATTTCCATATTTTTTTCAGAGTGAAAAAGCCCTTTCTCCTCGTTATTTCTTCCCTTTTGCTCACCATCGCTTAGACCTGGAGGCTGTGGTGTCTCTGAGGTGCTGTGCAGCATTGATCTGCTCAGAGTGTATTTGAGGAACCACAAGGAAGGAAATTTCTGTTGTGTTAYGAGTGTTGAGGAGCTTGGGTGAAAAGGACAATTTGCACTCTGATAGAATCAGCTGAATAGGATATTTAGGCTTTTGTTTTGTCCTTTTACCTCTGGGTTTTTTATGTCATCACTATACTCAGTATTAGGAATTTGCCTCATCC